ATCCTGATAGCCCCGTACTGGCCCCGCCAGCCATGGTTCATTCACCTGGTCTCGATGTCGTTGGACATGCTCCGCCTTCCTCTCCGCCCAGATCTCCTCTTGCTCGACCACGGCCTCGGTCTTCACCCAGATGTCGCCTCTCTCAGTCTTGCGGCATGGAGAATACTCCCGATGTGATGCAGGTTCTTCTTCAAGCCCGAAAACCTTCCACTACTCTCCTAAATGAAAATAAATGGAACCCTTTTGTAAAATATACTCATGACAATAACTTACCTGCCATACCTGTCTCTTTGAAGACTCTGCTCGATTCCCTCCTGCATCTCTTCAGTTTCGGCCTTTCCAGTCCACATTGAAGGTTTATCTTTCAGCCATTATGGCTCATCAGCCAGATGATTCTCCCTCCTCCAAGTTGTTTTCTCACCCAACTGTCAAGAAGTTCCTCAAAGGGCTCAACAACATTTGCCCTCCTCAACAACGTATCATCCCGCAGTGGTCACTGCAGCTGGTTCTCAATGTCTTGATGCGGCCTCCGTTTGAGCCCATGGCGTCCATCGACCTCAAATTCCTGACCCTTAAATCAGCCTTCCTTGTTGCAATCACATCAGCCAAACAGGCCAGTGAGCTCGCCGCTCTTCGAGCTGATCCTTCCTTTATCCAGTTTCACCCCGATAAAGTGACTCTTTATTTTGATGTTTCCTTTCTCCCGAAGGTGGTCTGTGACTTCCACCTCAACCAACTCATCATACTACCTTGCTTCTTCAAGTCTCGTTCTTCGCCCCTAGAACATATGCTCCATAATCTCAATGTCAGACGTACCCTGGCTTACTACGTCGAAAGGACAAAAACCTTTAGAAAGTCCAATAAACTTTTTCTTTGCTTTCACGGCCCACACAGAGGGGCCCCAGCCTCCTCTCAATCCATAGCACGTTGGATTGTACAGACTATTTCCCTTGCTTGCAGCCTGTCAGGGAAATCCCCACCAGAACATTTGACAGCTCATTCTACCAGGGCGCTGTCCACCTCTACTGCCTTTCAACGTGGCACCGAGGTTCCTGACATCTGTCATGCCGCTACGTGGTCCACACTGTTCACATTTGTCAAGCACTACCGCCTGGACGTCAGAGCACGCCAAGATGCTGCATTTGGCAGAGTTGTCCTGTCATCCTTATTACCGTGACCACCCACCAACCGGTAAGTGCAGCTTGCTAGTCACCCATATGTGTGCATTCACAGAGGCCATGAAAAAGAAAAAGAGGTTATTTACCTGTAAACATAGTTCTTTGAGTGGTCCTCTGTGAATTCACACAACCCGCCCATCCTTCCCCTCTATCCGTCACGGGTTGATTATATAATTGATTAATTAATTTTTCCTTCATACCCGGCGGATAAAATTCAGGAACTGGGGAAGATGGTGGGTGGGAGGAGCATATACCTTGTGGAGGATCACACCATAAAATTGTTACTTTTAGCTCTAGAATCTTCCAAGAGAGTCAGCACAGGCGCAGACAATTACCCATATGTTGAATTTACAGATGACCACTCAAAGAACTATGGTTACAGGTAAGTAACCCTCTTTTTTCGTGGGCAAAAGAAGCCTCTTCTAATTCTTTTTATTCTTTGCTGCATTATTTTGGATAGGAGGGTAACATTGGGAGCAAGTTACCAGTAAATAAATTCATGTTTTAAATTTAGCATTACCATATTAACTGTCCTTCATATGTTTCTGTACTCTCAAGCAGTATATACTGAATAGTCCTGTGATGTTTTGCCCCCCAGAATCATCTGAAATGCCATTGAATAGGAGGAGTTCAGGACGTCAAAGTGGAGTTCATGAACTATCTGCTTTTGAGCAACTTGTGGTAGAATTAGTGCGCCATGATGACAGCTGGCCTTTTATGAAGCTAGTGTCCAAAATTCAGGTAACTTATGTCAGTTTCATATAGTGAAGATACGTTTGGGTCACTACAGAGTTGATTCAATTAATAAAATTTCTGTGTCTCTCCCTTCCATCCTTCTTAATGCCTTTAAGGTAAAGGTAAAATTTGCAGGTAGAGTGCAGTTTTCTTATGAGAATTGCAATGTTGTATTTTACACTCTTCCCAAAAGACTTAACTTATAGATAAGGCTGTTGCTTTGCCTGTTCTTGATTACAATATGCCTTCATGTCAGATGTGTGAGATCTTGCTTATTATATGAAAAGAAATTATGTATACAGTATATGATAAAAAAAACCTATAAATCACAACTGACTTGATAACGTAAAATTATTATTGTTATTATTATTAATCTTGTGTTTAGAAGGGAAATTATTACTTTCCTTTGGCCTGATGCAGAAAATTAAATTAAATCACTGGAAAAATTATTTGAATTTTAATTAAAAAGTGGTTTAGTATGTTAGTATATTGGGGATGTGGTGGTGCTGCGGGTTAACCCGCGGAAGCCTCTGTGCTGCAAGGTCAGAAGACCTGCAGTCATAAGATCGAATCCACGCAGTGGAGTGAGCCCCCGTCGCTTGTCCCAGCTCCCCCCAACCTAGCGGTTCAAAAGCATGCAAAATGCAAGTAGATAATTACCACCACGGTGGGAAGGTAACAGCGTTCCATGTCTAGTCATGCTGGCCACATGATTACGGAAGATTGTCTTCCAACAAACACTAGCTCTATGGGTTGGAAACGGAGATGAGCACCACCCCCTAGAGTCTGACACGACTGGACAAATTGTCAAGGGGAACCTTTACCTTTACCTATATTGCAGAATGTGTGGTCTGACTTCCGTAGATGATGTGAATATAACATCAAAGTACCATGTGGAGTTATAAGATCAACTATACAATATAAAATGCAGGGAACAGTTCAATGAAAGGAGTATTAGAGATACAAATTCAGGAAATACAGTTGCCATTATTATAATGGAGAGCCTGGCCTTATTTTGACCCCAGGCACAACATTTTATGTTTCCTTGATAGTTCACTTATCCCTCCTGGACATTAGGAAGGAACAATAAAAGGCCATACACATTTAGAACACAATTATATAATTCAAAATTCAAAATAAGTCTGATTTTGTTTTTTGTTTTTTCTCAAGGAATAGTTTACTAAAAATATAGAAAATGAATCTTATTGTACTATGAAGACAGAGGAAACAGGCTGCTGCTTGGGAAAGCAAGTGAAGGCTGTAGCAGTTCTAAATAAGATTATCTTGAGCCATTTGGGTTATGTAGATTAGAAATTAGGGTTCATGTAATTAATTGCTCTTTATCATAAATAGTCACGTCTCTATTAATATTACTTTTATGTTATAATAATAAATTATTTTGTATTTTTTTTACTAAAATGCAGGTACCTGACTATTATGATATCATCAAAAAACCTATTGCCTTAAATATAATCCGTGAGAAAGTGAACAAGTGTGAATACAAACTAGCCTGTAAGTAAAGCTGTCCTAAATTAATTTTGTTTTCTTCTAGCTTTCAGCCTAGTTTAATTTATATAACATCTCAATGGCTTTATGATAAAAATGCACAGGTAGTGAAAGAGAAACCTCTAACCATTAAACCATAGAATTATAGAGCTGGAACATATCCCAAGAGTCATTTAGTCCAGTGGTTCTTAACGTGGGCAATAATGCCCCCCAGGGGGCGATTTCATTTTTCAGGGGGGCGGTAGAACGAAAAGGGGCGGTGTGGAGGCGAAATAACAGAAGGAGGGCGGTAGGGGGGCGCTGGAGCGAGCCAAACCTGTGAAGGCGACTGCAGCCGCAGTGCTGGCAGTAGATCCGGTGCTGCTGCCGCCGCCAGATGATCCAGCTCTTTCTACCTGCCACGTCTTGCCTTTCTCCTTTAGGGGAGCACTGAGTGTGGATTGAGTGGAAGGAAAGGATGTCTTGGGTCCTCATCCTTGCCCCGTGAAGCACTGCCTTGCACCCGGGTGGGGAGGGAGACTAGGTAGGTAGGTAGGTAGGTAGGTAGGTAGGTAGGTAGGTAGGTAGGTAGGTTGGTTGGTTGGTTGGATGGATGGATGGATGGATGGATGGATGGATGGATGGATGGATGGATGGATGGATATCATCACCTCAGGGAGGGGGGCAATGATAACTTCCTCAATGGCTCAAGGGGGTGTTTCTTTCAAAAAGGTTAAGAACCACTGATTTAGTCCAACCCCCTGAAAAAGTAAGATATCCACAGCTAAAGCATCCCTTACAGATTACAAGCAAACCTCTATTCAAAAACTCAAAAGAAAGAGAACCCAACACTTTCCAATGGAATTCATTCCATTAACATTGTCAGGAAGCTCTTCCTAATGTTTAGTCAAAATTAACTTCTTTTTCATTTTTATTCTTCGAATTTAATTTTCACAGACTACTCTCTGAAACTGCAAAAAAAAAAAAAGCAAGCTTGCCCTATCTTCCATGTGACATCCTATCAAATAATTCATAGATGTCTTGACTGTCACCTCTCAGTCTTTTCTCTTCCAGACTAAGTATTGTCAGCATCTCATTTCTTCATAGGGTTTGAGTTTCCAGCCCTTTTTACCATTTTCGTCATTCTGCTCTGGAAACATTTCAGCTTGTCTGTATGCTCTTTATAGTGTGGTTCCTGGAGATGGACAGTTTTCCTGGTGAAATCTGACCAAAGCACTATATAATGATACTACTGTTTCTTTGATATACCGTTAGTGTTTTTTAGTCGTTTCCGACTCTTCGTGCAGCCTAATATTGCACTTGGTCTTTTTTTCTGCTGCACCACTGTTGCATGTTAAGCTTGTGTCTACCAAGACCCCTACACAGACTACAGCCAAGACAGCTGTCACCCATCCTTGATTTTTTTCTGCCTAAATGGAGAACTCTAAATTTGTGAATTCTGTCTTCAGTATCTCATCTATAATAAACATCATTATTCATATACAATATACTCTTTCAGAATTTCTAACTTATGAGATCTCACTCACTATTTCTTTAAAGTTCTGAGCATTCATCATTACCATTCTCAGCTTTCCCTCTTCTCAGTATAACAAATTCCTAGAACATACAGTTACTTCCATTCAGAGGTACCACTTTTTCCACCTCATTGACCAGTTCTTCCTTGTAAGCATCAGATCCTGAATAACTGATTCTCTTATTTCTTCTTTTACTTTCTGGAGATGAAGTTATTGGCAAAGCAAATGAGGATTTTGTTGGTTTCCAGCAGATACAAGGGTATCTGGACAGCTGACAGAAACCAGGATAGTTGAGGTCCCCCCTTTCTACTCTCCCTCCTCCTTGAATGTCTCTAATTAATCTAATCTATAACTAGGGGTTGAAAATTTTTAGAATGTCTCGCCAGTCAGTCAAAAATTTCACCAGTCAGCATGACCTGATAGCCTTGCAATTTATGTTTAAACTTAACTTTAAATTTAAACTAGGCACTTTCTACATAACAATGCGTACAAACCCAAAATAAATATACCCTCAGACTTGGGTTGCTTTATTACCTGCATGCCTGTGAGGTCATGAAGATTGTATTTTGAATGCCTTTCTTTTGAATGTCTCCAGCAAAAATAAAACTGAAAGCAAAAGTGCCCAGCCTCTTAAGGAGCCAGGTTGTTCAGTTGAAATTAGGAGCAGGGAATCTCCATATTCTCCAGCATGGGACTACTCTGCATTCTCCTGCAGAGCTATATGTGTACTGCTTGAACTCTCTTCTTGCAAGAAGAGGGCTGTTTTTCCTTTTGCAATGGGAAGGGGGAGGGGAGGACTGCAGGATCAGAGAGAGAGAGAGATGCACTGAGGGGAGGGAGGGAGCTGTGGCTTGTCAAGCAGTGTTTTTTTACTTATCACAGACGAGTGGACAAGTGGATTTTTCAAGCCCTGTCTATAACAGCATCATGCACATTTTCAGTTTGGTTAGGACGTCTGTGGCAGTTACCTCCCCCCCCCATGTCACTTGGCTTTTGCTCCCCTGGTTTTTATCTAAATGCTCTCAAGCAGCATTCTGTTCTCTAACATGGATTTCCTGTCAGTTGTACACATTATTTAAATACAGTGCTATTCTTCCATTAGCCTTCCTGTATAAGTTATAACCTTCAATCACTTGCATCTTAAGGATGAGAAAGTCATGAGTCACATGCCATCACGTTTCTGTAACTGTTATTATATATTTGCCTTTCTGTGTTAGGAGTTCAAGCTCATCTTGTTTGTTTCTCAGACATGGTACATTGATATAGAGACACTGGAAATTCCTTTGAATTTTTTCTCTCTTTTTCCTGTATGAGTTCTTATTCCATCATCTCAGTTTCTGGTGTATCACTGACACTCTTATTTGATGTCAGCTACTTGGTGCATTTTGTCCTATCTCCCCCATCTTCAGTTTAAAGCCCTCCTAACCAGGTTTGCAAGACTCGAGCATTGTTCCCAACCCTTGTAACATGTGATCCATCATTTTTCAGGAGTCCTTCATAGAAGTAAAGGCCATGGTCCAAGAATTCATACTAGAGATGGAGGTATTAATATATGAATACAAATAATATCCCCGTGCAGCTGGACTTAACTCAAGCATCCTGCTGCAGCACCAGTCCCACTCATCCTTACAATCGCACCTTGAGCACCGCTCTCTTCTTACTCACCAGCTGTGCATGGAGACTCGTCCTCCCGCCCCCTGCCTAGAGTGGCCAGCTGTGCGGGAAGAGAGTGGTGCTTCAAACATGATTGGAAGGATGAGCAGGACTGGTACCACAGCAGGACGGATGAGTGGACAGTCTGGCCCCAGGGGCCGGACCCTCGTTAAGTCCAGTTGTGCGGTGATAGTCATATTTGTATACAAATGTAAATACCCCCATCTCTAATCCATAGCTTTGCTGGTGACACCGTCTGCACAACCAGGTACTCGCTTCTGAGTATTTTTGTCTTTCTTCCTTGCCATGGAAGAAGACCACAGATGTTGCAGAACCTTCTTTGATGTCCTTCGTTTTTAACTTTTACAGGTGCTGAAAAAATACTACTACTCCCTTAAACTGCTTTGCAAAAGGTCTTATTTATCATGTTCAAAAGTACCTGCTCCCAAACATACAAATTGAGCTCAAAACAACACTGACACTCACAGTCAGTGTCAAACTAGTAGATATCAACTTTCCCTTTCTTTTCTCTTCCACTGACCCCACAAAAATGTGTTTGCTTATCCTGTTCATGGGCTCCTTCTCACAAGCGTGTGTGGGACTCTGAGGAGCTATCTGCTGCTAGTTACATTTCCAGATAACTCCAGTTCAAAAGCAAAATGCATTCTAAATATCCATGGGGATTGGTTCCAAGGCCCCCTGCAGATGCTGAAAAGCGTGGATTATAGTGAATGTTATTTTAACAGTGGGCAGTTCTGGTAACTTCATCATTAGAACATATTTACCCAGTGTGTTGTTAGTCTGTGGAACTCCTTGCCACAGGATGTGGTGATGGCACTTGGCCTAGATGCCTTTAAAAGGGGATTGGAGAGATTCCTGGAGGAAAAATCCATCGCAGGTTACAAACCATGATGGGGATGTATAATCTTCAGGCTTAAAAGGAAGGTACCTCAAAATGCCAGATGCCAGATGGAGGGGAGGGGTATCAGGAGATGGGTATCTAGTTGTCTTGTCTGCTCGCAGAGGCATCTGGTGGGGCCACTGAGAGATACAGGAAGCTGGATTAGATGGGCCCTTGGCCTGATCCAGCAGGGCTCTTCTTATGTTCTTACATATATTTCAAGGATTTTTCTTTTAATTTTAACAATATTTTTATACCATATGAATCAATAGATACTGATTAACTGGCTAAAAGGTCCTACTGTACTACACAAACAGTTAAACATAATTCAGTTCCTGGTGCAATGTTAGAACACACAGACAATTCATAAAATTTGGAAGGAGCTTAAATAAATGCATTGTAAAGGAGCAAAATGCAAGCTTAAACTGAAGAAAGTAGGAAAAACCACTGGGCTGGTCAGGTATAATCTAAACCAAATCCCTTATGAATACACAGTGAAAGTGAAGAACAGATTTAAGGAACTAGATTTGGTGGACAGAGTGCCTGAAGAACTCTGGATAGAGGCTCATAACGTTGTACAGGAGGCAGCAACAAAAGCCATCCCAAAGAAAAGGAAATGAAAGAAAGGAAAGTGGCTGTCCAACAAGGCCTTGCATATAGCAGAGAAGAGAAAGGAATGCAAGGGAGATAGAGAAAGTTACAGAAAATGAAATGCAGACTTCCAAAGAATAGCAAGGAAAGACAAGAGGGCCTTCTTAAAAGAACAGTGCAAAGATATAGAGGAAAATAATAGAAAGGGAAAAACCAGAGATCTGTTCAGGAAAATTGGAGATATTAGAGGAACATTTTGTACAAAGATAGACATGATAAAGGACAAAAATGGTAGGGACCTCACAGAAGCAGAAGACATCAAGAAGAGGTGGCAAGAATACACACAGGAATTATACTGGAAAGATCTGGATGTCCCGGACAACCCAGACAGTGTGGGTGTTGACCTTGAGCCAGACATCCTGGAGAGTGAAGTCAAGTGGGCCTTAGAAAGCATGGCTAACAACAAGGCCAGTGGAGATGATGGTATTCCAGTTGAACTATCTAAAATCTTAAAAGATAATGCTGTTAAGTTGCTACCCTCAGTATGCCAAGGAATTGGGAAAACTCAGCAGCGGCCAAAGGATTGGAAATGATCAGTCTACATCTTACTCCCAAAGAAGGGCAGAGCCAAAGAATGGTCCAACTACCATACAATTGCACTCATTTCACACTCTAGCAAGGTTATGTTCAAAATCCTACAAGGTAGGCTTCAGCAGTATGTGGACTGAGAACTCCCAGAAGTACAAGCTGGATTCTGAAGTGGCAGAGGAACTAGAGACCAAATGGCTAACATGCGCTGGATTATGGAGAAAGCCAGAGAGTTCCAGAAAAACATATACTCCTGCTTCATTGACCACGCAAAAGCCTTTGACTGTGTCGACCACAACAAGCTATGGCAAGTCCTTAAAGAAATGGGAGTGCCTGACTACCTTATCTATCACCTGAGAAATCTATATGTGGGACCGGAAGCAACAGTTAGAACTAGATATGGAACAACTGATTGGAAAGAATCGGAAGAAATATCAACAGCCTCAGGTATGCAGATAATACTATTCTGATGACAGAAAGTGAGGAGGAATTAAAGAATAGAAGGGGAAGATATGGAGGCAGTGACAGATTTTACTTTCTTGGGCTCCATGATCACTGCGGATGGTGACAGCAGCCACAAAATTAAAAGACACCTGCTTTTTGGGAGGAAAGTGATGACAAACCTAGACAGCATCTTGAAAAGTAGAGACATCACCTTGCCCACAAAGGTCCGCATAGTCAAAGCTTTGCTTTTTCCAGTAATGATGTATGGAAGTGAGAGCTGGACCATTAAGTAGACCTACCACCGAAGAATTGATGCTTTTGAATTGTGGTGCTAGAGGAGACTCTTGAGAGTTCTCTGGACTGCAAAGAGAATAAACCTATCCATTTTGAAGGAAATCAACCCTGAGTGCTCACTGGAAGGACAGATCCTGAAGCTGAGGCTCCAATACTTTGGCCATCTCATGAGAAGACTTCCTGGAAAAGACCCTGATGTTCGGAAAGTGTGAAGGCAAGAGGAAAAGGGGACAACAGAAGACGAGATGGTTGGACAGTGTCATTGAAGCTACCAACATGAATTTGACCCAACTCTGGGAGGCAGTGGAAGACAGGAGGGTCTGGCATGCTCTGGTCCATGGCGTCACGAAGAGTCAGACACGACTAAACAGCAACAAAGAACAAAAAGGAGCATGTCAGCCTCATCCATGTCTATCTCAGTTTCCATCACCCTCCATATTAGAAGAAAACTTTGAGTGGGAGCTTACTGCATCTGTGAGTGTTTTAATGTTCAAACAGACAGAAGAAGCTTTCTTATTCAAGGTGTCCTCATGTACAAGGACAAGGCACAACAGATTAATTTTTCCTTTTGAAGTTTGATACACATTTGTGACAAATGACAAAAGCCAAGGTTGCGTCTTAAATACAGTGGGGTCTCGACTTACGAACTTAATCCGTATTGGAAGGCGGTTTGTAGGTCGAATCTGCATTTCCCATAGGAATGCATTGAAAACCATTTAATCCATATCTGCTCTTTTCCGTCCATAGAAACTAATGGGAAGCTGCTATTCCGCCTTCTACCACTATAGGGGGATATTTTTTCTTCTTTTTTTTTTCCCCTTAGGTCAATAAAAGTTCAGGAAAGGAGGGGGGAGGCAGGGAACAGTTGAAATCTTTTTTTTCAACGAAGCCAATTTTAAAGCATGTTTAAAAGCATGTTGTGCTGATTTTTTTCAGCACAAAGACACACAGGCAGGCTTTTTAGGTGCTGAGCAAGCCTCCCCAAGCCTCTTCAGAGCCAGCCAGTCAGCTGTTAGGTGGGGAGAGGAGGGGGCAGGAGCAGCGAAAAGCACAAAACGGCTGCCAGGCTCCCTGCTGGGTGCCGGCTTTTAGCTGTTTCCTGCTCTTTTTCAGGGGCTGCCAAGGCCTGGTAAGTGGCTTTATTTTTTTTTTTTAAAGTTTCTGACCCTTTTTTCCCCTCCAGAAGCATCTAAGGAGGGAGGGGCACTTTTTTTCCTGTTCGTAACTTGAGTGAAGTTCGTATGTCAAGTCCTTATTTCCCTATCAGGCGGCTTCGTAAGTTGAATTGTTCGCAAGTAGGGTCGTTCGTAAGTCAAGACCCCACTGTACAAGGAGAATTTCAATGATGGGTTCTTGGTTCAGGAAACAAAGCTTTGGGGTATCTGTAGACTTATGTTTTATTTAAATTCTCCTTAAAAGGGTCAAAGGCAGCTTACAATATTAAAAGAAACAATATTAGAAACTAAAACAATAAATTATTGCAATATTTTTTAAAGAATTAAAGGAATATCATATTGAAACTAGTAGATAAAAACAGTGGTAAAACACATTTAAAATAATATGTTTACTAAACGCATATTTTTTTTCTTTTTAGCTGAATTTATTGAAGACATTGAACTGATGTTTTCAAACTGTTTCGAATATAATCCACGCAATACAAATGAAGCAAAGGCTGGAACAAGACTTCAGGCATTTTTTCATATTCAGGCTCAAAAACTGGGACTTCCAGTAGCATCTGGCTACATGGACCACGCTGCCCCAACAACCAAAAAATCCCGGATCTGATTTCTTCCTTCTAAAAAACTTTAACTAGAGTAATCTGTTTTTCATGGAAAATGAAACACTTAAATCATGCAGCTGCAGAAAGCAATAACAACTGCCACACCTTGGAAGTGTGGCCTGCACTATGTTCTCAGTTTATTAAGCACTCAGGAGAATGTAGGAAAGACTAACTTTGCTACAGTTTTGTTCTGTATCTGATAACTTTGAGAGATGTGTATTGAATACTGGTTTACAGTAGCTTTTGTATTTTTAATTACCATTTTTGTGTCAAAAGCCTTCCAAAAATACTTTTCTTCAGCACCAGGCATGTTACCATATTTTTATGTTTTTGTAAGAACCATAGGTGAAGATTCTACCTAGGCCAAAATAATCATTTGCAACACAGTGGAGAAGTGACTGAAGTCACTTGACTATGAGTTTTTGGACACTACGTGAATTAGTAGTTTTATATCCTTTAAATTACTGTGCCAGTGCTGGTTGGAAAGATTAAGTCTGACTTTATTAAATAGGTATTTATTTAGCATTCAAATAATTTGTGAATTTGTTTTGTATTTATAAAACTTTTACTTTGAGGATGAAAAAATCTTTTGCTTTCTTTGTGTTTTGTTTATACATGTTATGAACAATTAATTGTCTTCTATCAGTTCTTCTAGCAAAAATGTAACTTGCAGAACTATGTTTCTACATCTTTTTAGCATATAAGAAAAATGAAATGCAATCTTTCTGTAAGTACTTTTTTTTCTGTATACTAAGCAATAGATCATTCTTGGTTGAAGCTGGGAATGAATATCAGGAATTGTCCTGGGCCCCAAGATAAATCAGCAGCATCTCTTCAATGATGTGTGTTATCCTCATGTTTCAAAATGTTTCAGTATCCAACTGCTTAATGTCCTTAAAATTTACCATGCTTTTCAGAAGATGTCTTTAGTACAACTGCCTTTATTTATTTATATTCTAAAATGTTGTATATTTAGTAAAAAAAAATGTTCAGAAATGCCTTGATGTCATTTTCTATATTTCTAATAATTCCAAAATGTCAGATAGTCATTAATAAAACTGCTTTTGTTTAAATATCTTGGATATCATAATATCTGACATTTGTCTGAATACCAAAGGACAAAAATCTTAACTCTTCTAATTGTAATAGAATTGTTTAGTCATGTTAGGCACTGACATTCTGCAAAGTACTAACTTAAGAACTAGACTTAAAATGTAAGTTGAACAGCGCAGAGAGACTGTCAAAGGAAAGTCTCTAATGAAGATAATGGATAGATTTCTAGGAACTATAAGGATTTGCCTAGAACATATGACTAAATGGCTATGAGCAATTTCTGATTCAAATGCCCCATTCATCTAACGCCAGTTGCTGAGAACCTGCATGGGAGGGTTATTGTCATGTACTAATTATGGCCTTCCCTTGGGAATGTGGTTGGCCAATGTAGAAACATGGTCCTCAATGAGACAGGCCTTTGATCTAATCCAACAAGGTTGTACTTTTATTCTTACGACTGACTTTGTATAAAACATGTTGGGTTAACTAAGGCAGATTTTTACTGAAGTGAAGGCACTCATCTATGTATCATGTACTCTCCCATTAATAGCATCTGTCTGCATTAGATGAAGAGAATGAGGTATGGGAAAGGATGGTCCCTGTGATACCTATAAAAGACCACATAAGAATCCTTGGAATAGGCACTTGGGTTTTAAGTCCTGCTGCTCTTCCATCTAAAATTTCTTTCAACACACTACCCTAAAGGAATTTTATAGAGGTGACTTCCGAGAGTAGTGTGCATGGGTATGTGTGTTTTGTGCCATCAAAAATAGGGCTTTCAAGATAAGTGAGATAATTAAGGAGTGGTTTTACCAGTTCCACTTCCCCCAGTGAGTTTCCACAGCCAAGTGGGGATTCAAACCCTGTTCTCCAGAGTCCAACTCGTCACTCTATCCACTACACCACACTGGGAATAATTTCCAAGAGTAGAAATCCATATATCCCATTTCCCATTACAGTATTTTTTTTTTACTGAAATGCATACCTGGTCACAGTACTTCCTACTGCAGCAGTGTACTTATTCTGCACACCCCTGTTAAAATGTCAAGTGTCTGTGATGTAAAAAAATGAGAAAGATGAATCATTTCAGAACTTTTTCCACCTTTAATAAGACCTATGAACTGTACAACTCAGTTGAACAACAAACTGAAATCTTTTAGGTTGAGGGAAGTAAAAATAAAAAACTGAACGGGATGTAGCTGTGTACACTAGTAAACAATCACGTTCAAACTCATGTTAAGTAGGAGTCAGTACACACCTGCTATTATTTAAAGTGCCTCTGAGGGACCCCAAATAAATATCAGCTATACTAGTAGGTCTTTACTGACATTTTCTTAGTCACATCCTACAGCAGAAGCCATGGTCTGCAGAGAGATCTCATTGTTAAAAGGTATCAGTCAGGAGAAGGGTACAAAAGAATTTCCAAGGCATTAGATAGACCGTGGAACACAGTGAAGACAGTCATCATCAAGTGGAGTAAATATGGCATGACAGTAACAATACCAAGAACTGGATGTCCCTGCAAAACTGATGAAAAGACTAGAATAAAATTGGTCAGGGAGGCTGCCAAGAGGCTTACAGCAACATTAAAGGAGCTGCAGGAATATCTGGTATGTACTGGTTGTGTGGTACATTTGACAACAATCTCTCATATTCATATGTGTGGTCTATGGGGTAGAGTGGCAAGACAGAAGCCTTTTCTTACGAAGAAAAACATCCAAGCCCAGCTAAATTTTGCAAAAACACATCTGAAGTCTGCCAAAGGCATGTGGGGAAAAGTGTTATGGTCTGATGAAACCAAGGCTGAACTTTTCGGCCATAATTCCAAAAGATATGTCTGGCGCAAAAACACTGTACATCATCAAAAAAACACCATACCCACAGCGAAGCATGATGATGGCAGCATCATGCTTTGGGGCTGTTTTCCTTCAGCTGGGACAGGGACCTTAGTCAAGGTAGAGGGAATTATGAACAGTTCCAAATACAGTACCAGTCAATATTGGCACAAAACCTTCAGGCTTCTGCTAGAAAGCTAAACATGAGGAACTACTTCTTTCAGCATGCCGACTCAAAGCATACATCCAAATCAACAAAGGAATGCCTTCACCAGAAGATTAACGTTTTGGAATGGTCCAGCCAGAGCCCAGACCTGAATCCAATTGAATATCTATGGGGTAATCTGGAGAGGGCTGTTTGTTCACAGGAGACACCCTTGCAATCTGACAGATTTGGAGCGTTTTTGCAAAGAAGAGTGGACAAATATTGCCAAGTCAAGATGTACCATACTGATAGACTCACACCCAAAAAGGCTGAGTGCTGTAATAAAATCAAAAGGTGCTTCGACAAAGTATTAGTGTGCACACAGATGGAACCATATTTCAGTTTTTTATTTTTACTTCCCTCCTATACCACTCTGATGGCAGAAAATGAGGAGGAATTAAAGAACCTCTTAATGAGGGTGAAAGAGGAGAGCACAGAAATGGTCTGAAGCTCAACATAAAAAAACAACAACTAAGATCATGGCCACATGTCCCATCACCTCCTGGAAAACAGAAGGGGACGATATGGAGGCAGTGACACATTTTACTTTCCTGGGCTCCATGATCACTGCAGAAGGTTACAGCAGCCAAAAAATTAAAAGACGCCTGCTTCTTGGGAGGAAAGTGATGACAAACCTAGATAGTAAAGTATCTTAAAAAGCAGAGACATCAACTTGCCAAGAAAGGTCCGCATAGTCAAAGCTATGGTTTTTCCAGTAGCGATGTATGAAAGTGAGAGCTGGACCATAAAGAAGGCTGACAGCCAAAGAATTGATGCTTTTGAATTGTAGTGCTAGAGGAGACTCTTGAGAGTCCTCTGGAGGGCAAGGATCCTGATGCTGAGGCTCCAATACTTTGGCCATCTCATGGGAAAAGAAGACTCCCTGGAAAAGACCCTGATGTTGGTAAAGTGTGAAAGCAAGAGGAGAAGGGGACGACCGAGGATGAGATGGCTGGACAGTGCGAAGCAACCAACATGAAATTGACAGACCTCCGGGAGGCAGTGGAAGATAGGAGGGCCTGGCGTGCTCTGGTCCATGGGGTCACGAAGAGTCGGACACGACTAAACGACTAAACAACAACAACCACCTAAAAGATTTCAGTTTGTTGTTTGACTGAGTTGTACAGTTCATAGGTCTTATTAAATGTGGAAAAAGTTCTGAAATGATTTTGTCTTATTTTTTTACATCACACTTGACATTTTAACAGGTGTGTAAACTTTTTATATCCACTGTATTCATTTATCTGCCTTCCTGACAAAACATTTGTTCTTTGCAAAATATTTGTTCTGGTCAAATGTATCAGTACAGATCTGTTGTGTGCACTTACATAAGCATGAGGGCATAGTACCTTTGAAAAGGTGTTTCTCATGTCAGTTCATAATAAATGTGCACAAAAATGTTTTACCCAGTAAACTACTCCATCACTGTCTAATCTTTCTCCTTCACACCCATGTTCAAATCTCAAATGGCACTACAGTATTTATTTAAAATATTTCACCGTCTTTCTCCTTTAAAAGGACCCAAGGCAGTTTACATCACTAATGAACTCTTCTTTGACATTAATAACCAGTAATTCCTCTTTGGTACACACCCATGATGGTAACAAATATCAAGCTGTAATGTGAGAATGACCCTGGGTCTCTGAGGAAGCAGAGAACCTGAGAACAAAAGCAAGATTTCTAGTATTGTCTTTGCTTGTTTGAGCTTTGCAGAGCAAAAGATGCCTTTAAAATACTGTAAAAAATTATCCTTTTTGGTTTTTACTTTTCAAAACATTGTTCTAATATTGTAAGCCACCATGGGTCCTCTTGAGAAGAAAGGGGGCATATAATTATTTTAAATAAATATTCATTGGAAAATCAGTCTGTTTTACAATACCCTCTTTGCATTTGGTGAAGTCCTCTTCCAAGGGTTATCTATGAGGAGAGCAATTTTTGACTCTTGGGTCATATTTCTTCACAACCATCTTCATGGAACCTCTTATAAGGTAGTCTTCTTTAATTATTTCTTTTCATCCTCCACGAAAGCTCATTCAAGCGGCTGTAAGTTTTCCAAAATCTATTTCGGGTGCCGCCGGACTCCCTGTTCTGGCGGCAACAGGCTGAAGACGCTAAAGGAGGTCCAGGAGAACCCGCCCGCCCAGCAACCACCACGACGGAAGGGCCCGTCTCGCCTTCACCCCAGCCCCCGCGGTCTTCTGGCACACCCGGCGGGGAGCTTTTATCTTGCCCCGAGGTGCCGCCCCTCGCCAGCTGCGGCAGAACAGGCTCGCCAGATCCCCCCCCCCCCCCCCACACACACACCGACGGCCACGCCCAAAGGACGGGGATGGAGGAGAAGATGCAGTCGCGGTTGCTTTTTGCCGCCACCTTCTTGGTCGGCTCTCCTCCCTCCCTCCCTCTCCGAGGCTGCAGGTCCAGAAACCGGGGGGGGGGGACGTTAACCGCCTCTACGGCTGCCGGGCCTCTGGTTTCAAGGGCCAGGCTGTAAGGGGGGGGACGCTTGCCTTTTCTTTCCTTTTCCTGACAACGGCTGGTCGGTGGAGAGAGCGGGCGGAGGCAAGCGGGCAGGGGCGGCGGTTGCCGGGCGAAGCCGTCCAGTCGTTTCTCATGCCTTTTCTAGCATCCCTCGTCCTTCTCCTCCTCCTCAGGAGGTGCGTCAGCAAGGAAAGCTGGAAGGCTTGTTCTGCCTCGCCGAGCCCCCCGCTGTCTCCCATCCACCCACACACCCCAGACAGATAGACGGCGGCGGGGCCAGTAGCCGTCGTCCACTCGGACCAGGAGAAATGTGCCTGGAGAAAGGCGCCCCTCCTCGTCCTCTGTGACAATCCGCGCTTCCCCGGGGGTGGCGAAAATAGCAGGTGGGGGGGGGTTTCGAGCGGAGGCCGCGGTACTCCTTGCAAGGAGATGCGGGCGAACCATCCCAGGACCGTCTCGGCGGCCAGAGCTGGGGGCGACACCGGAGGGTGGCTAGGCAGGTGTCTCGCCTTAGCTTCTTCCGAGTTAAGCCCTCCTCCCCTGCACGGAGCGAGGCTGACAGGAGAGGAGAGCGTAACAGGGCCACGGAGTGTCCAAAGGGAGCGCAGCCCCTCGCCCCTCCTCGGCTCCCCCTGCAAAGCGGGGCAGGGCCTGCAGCATGTGGGGAGAGGCGGCAGCGCCCATGTGACCAGCCTTTCCATCTTCGCTGCTCGCCCGCCCGCCCCGGTTTCTCCCGCCTATCTCCTCGCTTCAGCCCAGCCTCCGCCCGCTGCCGAGCCGCGCTAGTAGCGCCAGTCAGGCTCTGCTTCGTAGGCAGTCGCACGGCCACCGCCGCCACCACCGCCATCGCCGCCGCCGCCGCCTCAGGGACCCGGCACTATGGTAAGGGCGGGGCAGGGGAGGCTGCCTTGGGTTGAATGTGAGCCGGCCGCGGCTCGGCTTCTGCCAGGCGACGTTGAGAACGGCAGAACCAGCCCCCCCTCCCTCGAGGGGCCGAGGGGGGGTCAAGCGGGCCCGGCGGCCTCTGGCGGCCATTTTAGTCTAATTTTAGCTGGGAGTTTGGGAGAGGGTCTGATAGGGATGACCCCCCCCGGTCCAGCTCACTCGGTCCCTACGGCATGGAGAGGGGAGCCGGCTTGTCAGGAAGGGAGGAGGGAGGCTGAAGCGCCTTGGAAGTGGTGGCCGCGTGTGGAGAGAAAGGGGCCCTTCCTCCCAGGGTCTTCCCACACACACACACACACCCGCTCCGTTAATAGGTGCTTTTTATCTTGGAGGAATAAATGGCCTTCCCGAGTATGCCACCCAGCCTGACGTACGTGTGTGGCAAAAAAGAAGAGGGGGGCGTTATTTCTGCCTGCTTCCTCCGTTCTGATATAGCGCGGGACGGCTCTTTGTAAGATGGCAGGGGCTGCCCTGCCCCGGGGGGGCGGTTGCGCTCTCCTGGGGCTGCGCGGGGACCACGTCGCGGGGGTGGTGGTGGTTTCTCCATGTTCTTCTCTCTCTTGCCCTTTTTTGAGGAGGAAGAGGGCAGGCACGCGGGAGCGGAGTTTGGGATCTAGCCGATCTTGGGAGCCTCTTGTCAGTACAGAAAAGATTCTTATTACTGCAAGCAAAAGGTGTCGTTTGCGTTTTTCCGTCCGCCTTTTTTAGTTTGAGTATACAGGAGAAAGAGAAGAAAAGGTTTTGTCGTTTGGGAGGAACTGGAGATGACGTGTCTTTCTTATTGATGGAGGACCTTTTTCTTTGGCTAGAGAGGGATGGTAGATTTTGCCTGTTTAATTCCCTCCTTGGCCCCGGAATCTCTGATCTGCATAGGATACTGTGGTTGGGTTGACCTTCCTTTCATTTTCATCTGCAGGACATTGAAATTTCTCCCTTTGTGTTTAAAAAGATGTAATAGCCTTACTGTCTTAACCGGGATTGTGATGGAAGAGTGACGCATAGCTGGGTTTGTCCCTTTCTATTGTGCCTGTAGCTTATCACTTCTGTGTCAAGAACATGGGAGGAAGCACCAAGCAGGCTGTTCTTTGTTGGAGTGTTTTAATTAATATTAATTTGTGGGCAAGGCACACCTTCAGTTGGCAAAACATGGAGCTGAGTGTTATATATCTTTCATTGTGTGCTAATGGTACAGTATATGGTTTATACAGTAGCTAGGAATTAAGGTGCATACAAACACGGAGGGGGGGCTTTTTTTTTCTAAACAGAAAAACTGTCCTGTAGGTTGCAGTAATTCAATTCAGTAGGAGGCTAGAGGCCGCCCTGTAGCCTAGGAATGCATAGAGGAAAATAAAACACGTGCTGCCTGTATTTGGACAGCATTACTATATAACTGGCATTGTATTTTTGCTAGTGGAAGAGAAGGAAAAATGGCATATGCCTTTTTAAAAAATGAAGATTTGTTTTTTGTGTTCTAAAGAATAAGCCAGAAATGAATAAACATCTATCCCTTGGTTTTAGTTTGCTATTAAGTAGCAGCTACTTAATTGTATTATATGATACAACTTCCTTTAAAATGTTTATGTGCCTTAAAATCTTGTATTTTGTTAAAGGTTTTTCTTACCTGAAAAAAGGTCACTACAATTATAATAAATTGTTATTTTGAACTGTATTTAAGGGGGAAAAAGTTGTGCCCCCTTTATGTATTATAGCAGTGCTGTTGAAAAGCGCTTTTCTGCGAGTTCACTGCATAGTTAGATCAAAAGGCCAACAACTATCAGGAGGTCGTTTCCAGCAGCTTTGGCCTCTTCAAATGAGGGCCTTTAAACCTGTACCTGTGCTGTTACATGAAAAATGAATAGCAGAAAATCAACTTGCATGGTTATATTCTAACTTTAAAAATATCTCTGTCCAGTTCGAATGTGTGACTTACATTCTTTCAGGCTTTCTTGCACAGCTCAGTGATCTTAGAAGAAGTGTACATTCTGTCCTTGAGTCTTTCTTCCTGCAGTAACTTCACCGTAGTAATTATAGAGTAGTATTAAATAAAATTTAGAAATGTAAACTATAAATCTGACACAATACAGAAGGCATTTTTTCTATTCTTAGAGGTTTACGTCAGTGGACAAAAGTAGAATAATAACAGTGTTGTCTATGAGCTCTTACTACTACTTTTACTTATTTCAGGGAAATATCCTATATACTACTAATTGTATGTACTCAGAAACAAATCTTTCATTAGAGTTTACTTTCAGGTAAATGTACATATGATTTAAATCTTAAATGAATCAAAAGCTTAAGCTAAAACTATGTCATTGACCTAAAGATATTAGCCGGAGACAGAATCTTCTCTGATAGCAAAGCCCTATACATTCAGAAAAAATACCTTTTTGTTCAATAGGGTTTGTACCTAGTTAAGTATGCATAGGATTGCATTCTAAATCTGATATGTCACTTTGTATTAAGTTTTTAATATTCATTCTATTGCAGACTTACCTTTTTGAGTTTACATTCAGTTTTATTTTATTGAATATTATCTTTGTCTTATAGGCTTCTGGAGTAACCGTGAATGATGAAGTTATCAAGGTTTTCAATGACATGAAAGTACGAAAATCTTCAACGCCAGAAGAGATTAAAAAAAGAAAGAAAGCTGTTCTCTTCTGTTTAAGTGATGACAAAAAACAAATAATTGTAGAAGAAGCAAAGCAGATATTAGTTGGTGACATTGGTGACACAGTGGAGGACCCTTATACATCCTTTGTGAAGCTGTTACCTCTTAATGATTGCCGATATGCTTTGTATGATGCAACTTATGAAACAAAGGAGTCTAAAAAAGAAGATCTGGTATTTATATTCTGGTGTGTAAATCAAAGGATTATAGTTAACACAGCATTTTAATTTATAAACTTCAGTGGATTGAATAACAAGTTTTTCCTCCCCATCTTTAGGGCTCCAGAGAGTGCCCCTTTAAAAAGCAAGATGATCTACGCAAGCTCTAAAGATGCCATCAAAAAGAAATTCACAGGTAGGAGTTGAGTAGTTTCTAAATTGTGGTTTTACGTTTAGTTACTTGCTCAAAATGAGTAACAGTTCTGTACGGGGTACACCTTGTTTATCCTGCAATTCAGTTAGGCAAGTGGGTTGGTATGTAGCGAAGATATGTGAAGTTCTTTTGTTTTGAACAAGTACATATATGTTAATTTGTCTTTTTCAGGTATTAAACACGAGTGGCAAGTAAATGGTTTGGATGATATTAAGGATCGCTCAACATTGGGAGAGAAACTAGGAGGCAACGTGGTAGTTTCACTTGAAGGAAAACCCTTATAAAAGGACAGACAAGTGCCATCTGGAGCTTCCATTTCTACAGCTCATTCAATTGGAATAGTGTTAGCTCATTTTGCCCCGCCTTTCCAGATCCCAGACACCTGAAGAAGATGTAATTTAATTAACAGTCTACAACTGATCACCAGACTGTTTTTAAACTTGATAGTTTTATGTAGATTCCAAGGAATGCCTTCCATCATATACTTAGCCAAAACTGGTGATGCAGGCATTCCTTGCAAATGTGTATAATGAATGTGGTAGTTGATGTGGATAGTTTAGCCAAGCAAGAAAAGGTTTAAGCTAACTGATTGCCTTTAAAATATTGTCCAATGGTCAAATGCTCAACTCTATTCAGTATTACTTAACAGTTGCACTTGATTGCAGTTCCATGAGGCTCTTGTGCATTCATACACCTCACCTGCCTTGACAAGCCTATTTTTTTTGTTACATGGCAGCACACAACACTATGCATTTAAAGCACTTTTTTTGTAATATGTTTGATTTCTAAACTCCCCTTGCCCCAAAATGCCAGTTGAGTTCTGTAATTATGTCATCAAGCTGTTGTGGTACCTCAGTCTCCATTCCTGTTACATGCATATCTTTATCATCAAAGTAGCTGTAATGATGCCTTTTTGTTTTTCCTTTGAATGTACACTACTGAACAGGAGTAGGAACTGTCTCTTTACCATGCAAGTCTTGCAACACTACAGATGTTTTGTAAAACATCAGTCATACGGCAATTTCTGTATAAAAAGGAGCCTTAAATGGAACGCTGTTTTTGAGAGCAAATATATTGGCCACGTTGCAATAAACTTGTGGCTTATTACAGAATGTTGCCTTGTTTTCATTGAAAAATATGGAATAAAGTATGTTTTAACATTTTGCACACTCCTTCCCTCTGGCAGTACTTTTAAAAGATATTTACCAGTTGCTTTCCACCTGTATAATGATTTTTTTAAATTATTATTTGTTATTGTAAGAACGATTTCAATAAGGGACCTTCCCCAACCTTTACTTACTTTATGTTGCCATTGTTCGGGAGCAAATAGGCTAGCAACCTCCAGCTAACTTATATGTGAAACCTATAAGGGAAATTATTAGCCAGACAGTGCATTAATACAGAATGGTCTTCACAGTTCTATGTGTTACTTTAGCATTGTGTGTACCAGTTTTTGTCTGGTCACAGGGCAACTGTTCTTCAATTAACTTTTGTACTAATAGGACTGGAAGGCTTTTGCTGCTACTAAGTCTTGCATCAGGAACATGACTGGCAAAGAGCCAGACACTGCTCTCCTTATAGAGAATTTGATCTGCTGTGTGCGAGCAGCCCTCCGTTAGCCAGAGCTATTTATGGCAAACACATGCTTTTGTATCTTGTCATCAGTTCTCCACAAATGGCAAAACTGGACATGATTCTGCTGGTATGCATAAAGGAACTCTGCTAGGCAGCCAATCACTGTTGAAGTATACATACCACTAGGAGGAATGCTTTCGCAAAAGGATAAAAATTGCAAACAGTTATGATTTCATAGAAGAAGGTAGCAGAGAGTAGAAATAATGTTTAATCAAACGTAAACTTGTTTTTAGTCATATCTGGGAAGAAATAAGTAGATTATGAGGAAACACAGGACAGTAAATTGAATAATTTTCTAAATTATTCTATAGAACTTTGATTATTTGAAGACTTCACCTGTCTCTGGCTTATTAGAAGTGAAGTATATAATTAGGAATACTCTCTGAACTCTGTTGAACCTAGGGCATGCAAACTGTTAGTGTTAACTGTTCATAGCAGGAAAAGGGATACCGTAAAGTTGTTTAGAAAACATTCTTCTTTATATTATTGGAAAGTATGTGCCCCACATCTTGTTACAGATATTCTTCCATGTGTACCTACAAAAGCCTAGCTAGGGTAAAAATTTCTTTCTTGATCAATTCTGTTATGTAGAACTGCACTGATTCCCTTCTAAATTAGAAGGTACTGAAAGAGTACTTTGTTGGAGAAACCCCAGATGCTTTAAAATGAATGTTAAAACTTTTTGAAAATCTGTACAGGCCAGTGTTTATCCCATCTGCAGTGTAAAGCACTGTTTTTCAGTTCATGTCATCCTGTGCTAGTGTTATTATTGGTGTTTGCAGTGTTGAACAGATACATGAAGTTTAAGACCCAAGAATACATTTACTTAAAATCAAACATAAATATTACAAATATGCCTCCAGTCAAAATTCCACATGGAGTTTTGTAAAATCAAAGCTTACTTGTATTGACAAAGTACAGAACTTTGTGCATAGTATTAAAAAAATTAAAACTTGTTTGCTGTTGAAGGAATATTGACAAAAGTCCTGTTCAGTGCTTTTGGAAATGCTGCTACAAAACTCATATTGCTCAGACAATAAAACAAATGAGAGACAGCTGGCATGTGTTCCAAACAGGCTGTCAGCTGTTGTTTTCTGTCATGCAAAACGATGAAGCCCTCATTGTGACTTCAAGGTTGAAAGCAAGCTTCACAGTGTGAGCATCTTGTATGTCTCCCATCATAGATGGGAAATCAGGCGTCTGCTTCAGTTATTTTATTGATGAAAAATTTATTAATAAAGGTTTTCATGACAGTACTGAAAGTCTCTGAAGATACTGCCTTTTTATTTTTAAAGACCCTCTGGTTTTTGAAAATCTGGACAAATTTAACTTAAATACAGAAATTATTAGGATGCAACACCATTTAGTTAAGAAAAAATGCAGAAGTTAAGGTAGATTTAAGAAATAACTCAGTTTTCCCTAGGTGAAAGAGATTTCTGCCATCCTGTACACAGTAAACTGAGTATATCATCTCTTGTAGAACTCAGTGGGACTGATGTCTGTATAAATGCCTAAGACTTGTGCTATCAGATTACTCCCTAAGGCATTGTAAGTAATCTGCCAACCTGATCAAAATTAATTACTGTTATGATTATAGGATGAAAGAGTAAAGAAACATTTTAGATATATGTTAACTATTCTTAAATGTATTCTCAAAGGCTGTTAATTGTTACTTTGGACAGTGGAGTATCCAGATGGAAAAGAAGGCAGTACCGTATTTTTCCATGTATAAGACAATACTTTTCTTTAAATTATTTAGATTAAAAATTTAGGGTTGTCTTATACACGGAATTAAGGAGAGGGGAGGGATCAAAGTGCTTTGATCCCTGCTTTCCCCCACCGCTTTTTGTGAAGAAAGTGGAGGGGGAAAGCACTTTCCTCACAAGAAAGTAAAGCACTTTACCTGCAAGAAAGTGCTTTCCCCCTCCATTTTCCTCACAAGAAAGCACCTTCCTCAGAATGTGCTTTCTTGCGAGGAAAGTGGAGGTGGAAAGCACTGTGAGGAAGGTGGAGGGGGAAAGCACTTTCCTCACAAGAAAGTAAAGCACTTTACCTGCAAGAAAGTGCTTTCCCCCTCCATTTTCTTCACAAAAAGTGGAGGGGGAAAGCAGGAATGAAAGCGCTTTGATCCCTCCCCCCTCCTTCCGTGTATAAGACAACCCTAAAGTTTTAAACTAAAGGGAAAATTATCATCTTATACATGGACAAATATGGCAGTTCATTTCATATACTCTTTTGAGTGGTGTGCTATTAGCTGTTAGTACTGTGCCAAAGTAAAGCATAGTTTCAGACATGTATTTTATTTCTCTATTTTCGAACAGCCAAAGATTGCAAAGTTCTCCAGTTAAAATTCCCAAAAGAGGAAAAGAAAATGAATGCCTTTGCACTGTTAGCATATGGTAGTATAGTATCTCTGACTGCACTAATGTGTGATTACAAATCCATTACTTTTGTTTAGGCTTATAATGACAACCATGTGCAGTCAAGTCAGTTCTTATTCATGATGCCCATTGTAGAGTTTTCTAGGTACAGAGTACTCCAACATGATTTAGTATGCTCTGTAGCTTGCCCAAGAACACACAGCCTAGCTCTTCTATAAGGAATGGTAAGGAATCACAGTCCGTGGTTCCATAGCCAAGCATACATCTCACTGAATCACCCAGTCAGCATTTAGATTGTATGTAACCAAATATTTTGAGCTTGAAATGTTAGGTTTAGAAAACTTGCTGATGTTCAGCTTTAGAAACGAAGATTAATTCATTATTGTTAGGACTGGGTAGCAAAATGTTTAATATGCAAAATAACATAAATTATTGCATTGATTTTGCAATAATAGCATATGAGTTGTCACTATCAACAAAAGGCAGGCTGTCCTAAAGTGTGAGAACTCATCTTACAGTTGCATTTTGCTACTGATCTACATCACTGTTTCCTCCAGTGTTTTGTAATAATTCAGGAGCACACTGAGTTAATATTTTCTGTGAGATAGTATCACAACCACAGGCTCACGTTGCTTAGTGATTATACAAAAGATATGCTGTTAATGCATAGGAGAGATGGGCTCTTTTGCCTTATTATGTTTCACTTTGTACTTAATTATATTGAACACCATCTTCTGCTTCAGTGTGCATTGTTTAGATATATTCTTTGACGCCACTTCAGTCTGCTTTGGATTTTAGAAACATAATTTTCAGAAATTATTTCAGACATTTTCAGAAATTAGGTAAATTAAATTTACCTTTAAATGTGGCTGCTGATATCTGACTATAACCAGGTGAATAAGCTTCAGGTTTGTGATAGAACGTGGTGTGTTTGGTGCAAAATAAATGCACTTCAGATTAGAGAATTCAGATCCTGGGAATTTGTCTTGAGTATCAGAACTGAAAGTCATTTTGTTCTTCTGCGTGGTCTTCTGTGAATGCACACAATAAGGGGTTAAGTCAGCGCCTGCGCTGGTCTTCTCGGAATATTCCAGAGCTCTGCAAGAGAAACATTGTCAACATTATCTATACTGCGCATGCTCCGCCCGCCCAATCCTCAGTTCCATTTCTCCGCCGTGTGGAATGGTTCTTCTCGGTAGAGCTCCTCTACTCTCGCCCTTTTTAGTGCCAGAAAAACTTTGCTGCTCTATCAGAATCCAATCTACTGTCACCATATTTTTACTTCTGAGAATCTAGAACAGGATTGGACAAAATGTGGTCCATAATTGTGCATTCTGATATCTTAAAAAGGAGAATGCTGGATGCAGATTCTCATCTTTACTGTATTTGATACATGCTGTGGTGAATGCTGAAGGCGATATTTAGCCTGCCTCAGTTACCCTCCTGATCATGACCAGTTATGAGTGAGTAAAGTTTAAGCAGATTCAGCATAGATACACAGAAATCCTACTGCATACAGTGGTGCCTCTGTTAGCGATGTTAATTTGCTCCAAAATAAAACATTGCTATGGGAAAACATCGCTAAGCGGAACACCATTTCCCATAGGAATGCATTGAAAACCGGATAACCATCCCCCCCTTTGGAATGCATTGAATAGGTTTGACAGCTGCCAAACCTACAGTTCAATGCATTCCAATGGGGGGGGGGGAATTCCCCAAAAATTAACAAAGACTCAAAACAAAGCCATATTAAGTTTGCAAAGGTTTTACAAGGTGCACTAACGATTCCAAGCATTTTAAACAGTTCTTGAACATTTGAAGACACACTTAAAATAGCGAAACCGGACATCGCTAAGCGAAACGGGGACCTAAACTGTCATCGCTAAGCGAAGCAAGGTCCCGAACATCGCTATGCGAAATTTCCCCATTGGAAACATCGCTAAACAGAGCGCAAGATCGCTCCAAAAACCTCATTGCTCAGCGAATACATCGTTAAACAAGGCAATCGCTAAGCAAGGCACCACTGTATTTCTCTTTTGGGGAAAAATAATCTGCAAGCAGATACATGGATATGTTTATGTCTATTTGTTTTGAATAACCTTATGCAACAGCATAGTGTGTTTTCTCTTTCAGTCTCTGTGTTTTCATGTGCATTATCCAGTAGGAACCTGCAACACCCTACCAGCATACACACGAAGTGGTTCTGATAGAAGATGCAGTCTACTGAACTCTATAATTTACAATATATAACAGTTTTCTTCTAGTCGCACAAAATCCAGGTGTTCACAAGCTGTAATCCGGTTCTCCTTGAGTCGAAGGCAGTCCCTTTATTTGAGCAGGAATAAAGGTCGGAGGCGTTTTCAGAACGTTAACAGAGTCCTTTTTATTTTTTGACATCTCAACTTCAACTGTTTCAAACGGATCCAACATACTTAATTCGGGTAAAACTTTATAACTGCGGACTTTTACATCAGGAGTAAAAAGATTACTCCTTACATCAGGGCCGGACGAAAGCACTCCCGATCCATCATTGGTCTCAAGGGGTGCTCCGCACCGCGCAAACTGTGCCACAGCAAGGGTGTCTCGCCCAGTCTCCCTCGCATGGTTGTTGATAGAAAGAGGGACTGGGGCGAATTACCCTCCTCCCCCCACGCTGGTTGCGTGGGTAGACCACCACCATCCATTCTAGTGGTTCCAGTCTTTTGTTGCCCGTCTTAGCTGTGGGAGGATCCGGGAGTAAACCCCCACCAGTTTGCAAGTTCAGAAACTCCCACATCAGTTTCAAGAATCCATCTAACTCCTCACCTGCCTGTACAGCTTGATCACTCGTCTCTCTTATTCTCTCACCCGTTACAACACCCCAATTTTGCGCCTCCGCTCCCTCTTTTATATCCTCCCATACAATCACATTTAGCTCCTCCCCTTTATCTGCTGCCAGGCAAACCTCCAACGCTTTCCTTTCCTCTCCCTCCTCTTTATCTCCACCAAGATTCTCTCTACACAACCTCGGTCTTCCTCAGTTGTCTGAATCATTGAAGACAGCACACTGATGACTCCTCCTTAACACAAGTCCTTTCTCTGTTGTGGTGCTCATGATGTGGCAGGGTGGATTTGATTTAAATGAATTTAAATAATGATTTAAATCACTGGTCAGTAAGCATTTTATTTAAACATTAAAATTTTAAAATATTTTTTAAATTTGATGTTTTAAATTTTAAATTAGATTTGTATAAAATAAAATGTTTACTGACTAATGTTTTAAATTGTTTAAATAAATAAAATTTAAATCAATTTAAATTGATTTGATTCAAATCAAGTCCACCCTGTGATGGGGATTGATCTCCTCCACTATAATTACAATAAATCTAGAGAAAAGACACTTCCAGGTTTTGTATCCATTCAGTCTGCTTAAGTACATTTCTCCCCAAAACCAAATACTGTATAGTTGAAATTGTACAAATCTGATGGTGCTTTAAAGATTAAGAAGTTTTGTTTGGCATAAGCTTTCATAGATTGCAGCCCACTTTATCAGATGCAAATCCATAAAGTGGGCTGCAGTTCACATAAATTTAAGTCGAATAAGCTTTACTCTTTTAAGATGTTACAAGACTTGGTTTTCAATACCATTTATTGAATATAATTATGTTTTAAACAGAATTTTACAAATATAATCTCACAGTAAATTCTTGGACAACGTTCTGTGATATATTTATTTTTTATTTATTCCATTTTTATCCAACCCTTCTAGACATATGTCTACTCAGGGTGGCTCACAAATCACAATAAATCTATGATGGCGCCTCAGCTCTAGGGATTCCCAGGTGAGTTGAATGATCCAGAGGCCTATCAGTCCGGTTTCAGGCCTTGCTGTGAGACCGACT